CTTCGGGGAAACTCTTCTTAGATTCCAGTGGTAGGTTCTGTGTGGCATTCTGCACCGATTGCTGATCGAAATGAATATCCTTGGTGTCTGATGCGTTTGATGCCTCCCTCTTAAGGATTTCAGTCACCGTGGCCATTTTTTGGTACTCTAGAGGTCACTCGAGCTTGAGAGTACAGAGGCAAGCTAGATTTTCACTTTACGCCACTTTGGTCGAACTACAGCTTCCGACTCCACCACCCCTTCGGCAAGCGGTGAAATGTTCATCCTTTCTGAAATAAGGGTAAGAAAAATAAAGCTCAAACTTCAAAATTTCACTCACCTATGTAGGATACTGTAGCTTTGGCACCACATACATTCGGGCTTGATACGGGAGAAACCTTGTCTCGCGAGCTGAACAAAAAATATGCAAATCGTATCCTCCATGATATCGGGCTTGTTATATCGGTGTTTGATATTCTCAAGTGTAGTGAAGGAAAAGTGCGCTATGGAGATGGTTGTTTATGGTATAAAGGTATGCATATCGCCTTCGAGTTTTGTGCGCTATCTGACCTATCAGCCCAGTTGATTTCCGATTAGTAGTTTTTCGGCCTTTCATTTCCGAGGTTCTTGTTGGTAAAGTAAAGTCGCAGGATGAACAAGGCATTAGAGGTCAGTCTCGGTTTGCATTTGTGTTGAGTCTTTGGTTCACTTCAGCAGTTACTCTCAACTTTTTTGACGAGATCTACATCGACGTTACTCAATTACCAGCACCCTGTGCTTTGTGAGTAACCTGTTGCATTGAATAGTGTACCTCCCTGACCCGTGTTCGTGCAGTGACTCGAGTCGTCAAAAGTTCTTCTGGTCGCCAACACTAGACACCGATGCCACTAGAACACAACTGATGGACTCACCTTTATCTGAGCGGCTATATATTGAACTGGATGGCCCCATCAAAATTCGGGTAGAAGGTGACGAGTTCCACGATGAGGAACCAGGACCTCCCAAAATGTCGGAAGGCGTCCGAATTGACCTTACTAAGGAGTCAAAAAGAGCACCATATCGTATCCTCGTAAGTGTAGTGTGTTTTTAATTAGCAACCCTCTTACGCTGGCGTAGGCATCCATTGCGGGGCAAGGGACGGGTCCACTTGAATGGTGGGCAGGTGTCGGGCAGGAGCCCACAGATGCAATGGAAGAATAAATAAGTTATATTAAACACGAAATATCCAAAGTATAGAGTTCTCTAAACCATCGACGACATGAGGTCTGAGGATGTGCTTAGACTGCCTGTTTGCCCTTCTTTGGCACCTCTTGGTGTAGGCTGAGCTTCTTTCTCGTCTTCTTCGAGGGTTTGGCATGTTTGTTCCCATGTCTTATAGGTGAACCACAACACGTAGGCCTCCGAATCACGAAGAAGCTGAAGAGCCTCGTTAACATGCAGTAGTTTGCCTATATAGTTTTTCTCGTCTTCCATGCCGGTATCTGTTTCCCGGACTGCATCAGGCGGGAGGCTGGCTGCATACCAAAAGCATGTATATTCGTAGCCGGGATGCCTCCCGTGAGAAGGAACCGGAATGGTAGTTATGTAAACCGGCTCAGTTGTGGTTAGCCAATGCTTGGAATTAAGTGGTTCTGCTCTACGAGCTTCTTTCTGAGCAGGCGAGGAAGGTTGCCTATGAGGCAATAGTAACGGAAGTGGCTCTGGGCGAAATCCGCTTTCCTAGGCGGCTCATTAGTACGAACTCCTAACTTGTTATAGAGTATATTTACCTCGTAGCCTTCCCGGAAGGCCGCTTGTTCAAGCGTCTCACCTACATCCTTTCGCCCTCGCGGTAAAAACCACTGTTTCGTGCCAGAATCATAAACAACAACGACCTTTTTGGTCGATGGTTGGATCATACAACAACCAGCAGCGAGTTGAAAGGTCCCGGACACCCAACGGCTAGGTGAAATTAATGGGGTAGAGAGAACCGGTTCTTCTGGTGCCTTCTTTGAAGTCATAAGTCAGAATAGAGGCACTTGAGCTCTGTAGGTATCAGAGGAGAGATAAGTAGAATGTAGATAGCAGTTAAGAGACGTGGGCTGACGTTGACCGGCGTCTATTACCTACTCCTTCTGTGTGCACAGTCTATGTCATGAATAGG